AGGTCAAAGGAGAAGCTTCAGTTCAAAACCGAAACCAGTTTCGGGAGAAAGGAAAGAGGAGGAGGAGAACGATGGAGATTCTGGAGAGGAAAGAGAAGAAGAGAAAAAGAAAAAAAAAAAGGAAAAAAGAAAACGGAGGGATTCTGGTTCGTCTATGAATCTGGGCAGAGAGGGAGAAGAAAGAAAAAAGAAAAGGAGAGGGATAGAGATCCCGTGAGAGAATGGGAGAGAGATTTTGATTGAAATTTTGGCGAAAAAAGAAATGAGGAGAGTTTTTAGTTTAGGGCAGCTGAAGGAGATGGATTGGGCCAAGCCCAACCCATGTAGGGCCGGACTGGACTGGTTCCAGTCCAGTCCAACCTACAGAAAAAAAGAAGAAAATTGGGCTGGACTGATCCAGCCCGGAAAGAAAAAAGATCAAGAAAAAAGAAAAGCCTAAGTTTCATTTTAGTTAATCGTGAATTTATTTTATATATGTTTTTTTCATCTTATCTTTAATTTTTATTTCAATGTTCGAATTATTTTATTTTATTTTATTTAGGTAATGTAATTGTGGAATTTTATTTCAGTAATTAGATATAAATAATTAATAGGTGGATAATTGTTAAGTCTTCTATTTTTTAATGACCGATAACGGTTTTTCCATCGACAAAATAATAATAATGATAAAAATGACAAACAAAAAAGAGAAGGTTATTAGTTAATTTTAAAAATTTTGTTTCAAAAATTAGTTTAATGTTAATACGTGGGTGAATTGTCTCGATTATCCTAAATCTTAGAGACCGATGACGATTTTCCACGATTTTCCATCGCCAAAAATAATAATTAAAATTCATAACGAAATCTCCTATTTTATAGGGATGATCGTTAACAAAAAAAAATAATAATAAAAAAAATTATTAACAAAGTCTTCTATTTAATAGGGATTGTTATTAGCTTTTTTTTAACATTCAAACAATCATGATTTTCTTCGACACACCGATTGTGTCGAGATTTAAAAAGTGGATCCAATATTTGAATCGATGTGTCTCCTAATAAAGGGGTCCAACTATCATTTCAATATGATGCTACATCCAAAAAATAAAAAAAACTTAGTTTTGGATTTAAAAAAAAGAGGAAAAAGGTGGAGTTCAAATCGGAAAATAATTTGGCACAAATAAAATACTTTATGAGATAAATTTTAAAATTAAAGAAGATATGGTACCTTTATTAAAAAATGACGCTTTTGGACGATTAAATATCTTTTCAAAAGTTCCAAAAGCACAATCAACTTCTTACTATGGAATCTATGAAGTAGTGTCCGTTTCGAGTTTTTAGTTCCTTTAAATACTTAGGTGATGACTCCAAACTCGTAAATAACTCTGTAAATAAAACCATCTAAATCTAAACCATTAGATAGATTTTTTTGTTTCTAGAGTCCCATCCGATGTCGGGTAGTGACCGTGTTCATCATTTCTGGTTTTCGTTTGAATTTTTTGGGCAGTGTTTCATTTTGTTCTTCATTGTTCTTCATCTAGGTTTAGGTGTTCATATTTCTGGGCTTTGCATAAGAGATTTCTAGCCTTTCTCTCTTTGGTTTTTTGGTTTGCCAAGAACACGGGCAATTTGGTGTTCCTCCGTTCCTTCCAAACTGAACGAATCACATACACAGTATCATAAATCTTGCAACCAATCACCTGTAATAGAAAGTTCCAATATCACTGCACAAGTTTCATTCAATTTCTTCCAATTCGTTAAACTTCACTTAAGTAACTCATTTCATTCCATTTCTTTTGATTTCAGTTTCAATTAGTCTATTTTAATTTAGAAAGATGAAAAGGATGGCAATGATGAAAGCTTACTGAAAATCAGCCACCCAATTCGTTTTCCATGAGATAATAGCAAGGGATTTAAGGTTTGGTAATTACTCTAGAGTTGTAGGATTCTTGTCGAAGGAATTTCGTTTGGTAAGAAGAATGTAGGAATTCAGGATTGTATCTAGAAAGAATGAGAAAGGAAGAAAGCTAGATGAACTAGAGAGGGAGAGAGGTAGGAGGCAATTTGATCGAAAGAAGAAATAATAATAATAATAATAAAAAGAAGAAACGGGTTTGTGTTGCTAGAACTTGCTTTAGCCAGAAAAGGAAAACATGCTGGTTGAGCCAAGCCTTAACCTGCGTAGACCAAAGGTTGGATTGCAATCAGTCCAGCCCAGCCCTTTCCTTCCAAAAAAAAAAAAGAAATGGAAGGGGCTGGACCAATTTCAGTCCAGCCCAGGCCCCTCTCCCTTTTTTTTTTTTAAAAAAAAGAGGTCAGATTGGAATCAGCCAACCTCTCCCGAAGAAAGAAAAATAGTTTTAAAAAATACAACATGGAAGAAGACAATTAATAAAAAAGAAATAAAATAATAAAATGTTTGACTGTAATTTAAATGTTAGATTTTTTTTTTAATTTTTATTGCTTAGCGTTTTATAGTTAATTTTCCTTTAATCATTTTTAATGTAATTACCATTTTTAGTTTGTTATAGTTAATTTAGAATTTTCTATAATTACTTTAATTCATGTAATTTTAATCTTTATTGTATTTTTTGTATTTTTTATTATTGATTTTGATTTCAGTATTTGAATTATCTTTAATTTGCTTAATTGATGTAACTTTAATTTATTTGTTTAAGTAATAGGCTTAGGAAGTAGTAGGTGGAGGATTGTTAAGTCTCCTTACTTTTTAGGGATTGAAGATGATCTTTCACCAAAATATAAAAAAAAATGATTTAGAAAAAAATATCTAAAATCTTTAATGAAGTATCCTATCTAATAAGGATTATCATTTAAAAACAATAAAAATAATAAAAATTATCAACAAAGTCTTTTATCCGATAGAGATCGTCGTTTGATCAAAAAATTGGATTTCGTGACGAGGTCTCCTATCCGATTGCATGGTCGTTATCAAAAATCATCATTTAATAATCGGTATGTTCTCCAACACACCTAGTTGTATTGAGGCTTAAAGTGGATCCGATGTTTGAACCGATATATCACTCGATGAAGGGGACCAATGGTCATTTCAATACGATCCATGTCCAAAACTAGAAAATTTAATTTGATTTTAAAAATTGGAGTTTAAAATCAAAAAATAATTTGGCATAAATAAAACGTTTTAGGAGATGAATTTAGAATTAAACTAGACATGTTACCTATCTTCGGAATGGACACTTTTGGGTGATTAAATATCTTCCTAAAAGAGTAATCAACTCCTTACTATAGAATCTCCGAACCAATGCTATTTTTAGGTTCCTAGTTTCTTAATACTAGGTGGCAACTCCGAACTTGTAAATACATCTATAAATAAAATCTAACTTTGTAATCTTAGAATTTTTTAGAAGTCTCATCCGACATCATGTAGCGTAAGTGTTGCGACTTAATTGTTAAAGCAATGACACACCAAACAAGTTAAATGGATGCAAGCGGTGAGAGAAATGAAGAGCAAACAAGGCAACAAAGTGAAAGTCAAATGACAAATGAGCAGTAAATAAATAGATAGTTAAAGTCTAAATAGATAGTGTTTTGAAAGTTGTATGATGTGAGAGTGGAAGAGTTTTTAAAAAATTTTACTCTATAGAAAAATAAGCAAAAATTAGAATCTTCGATAATTAATACGAGACTCGATATTTATAGTAAAATAAATATAATATTTGACCACTAAGATGACACCGGATCATTTACGTTTGAAAGATAGAATTTGTGCCAAAAAAGGGGAGGGGGTTGAAAAGAAAATGAATTCTTTTAAAATAACTACTTCAATTTTTAAGTAAAAGTTAAAAAATCTAACAATTAATTTTTTTATGACAAATCTCATTTTATATTCATTAAGTCAATTTTTTTAATATATCTCAATGATAAAACATAAATATTGACTTTGTCATAATACGCGTGGTCATCAAACCTTGCTAAACGAAATTTGAACCTAGCCTATTTATTATATAACATGAGCCTATGTTAGAAAAAAATCAATACATAAAATTAATTAAATTACTTGAGTAACGACACATGAGTCATGACGATTTCATAGAACTTTGGGCAACAATTAAGTAGGCGTAATAGAAAAATATATTGTCAATGTGATATGGCACGACGTTCTTTTGAAACAAGCTGGTGGAGTCACAAGCACGAGACCCCCATTTTCAACATCTATCTTTCGATCATTGCAACGTCTCACTCGTTTCTTTCTTCATGCTTTGTTCTTTTGATTTCATACAAAATAGGAAAACAGATAAATCTCAGGTGACAAGACCAAAGTCACGACTCTAGAAATTGGGACATTCATGCAACTCGTGCGGTGATGTGGGATTCAGTTCACGTGAATCACACGAATGGTACAAGTATGTGCAATTACTTGGTCAAATTGATTCGATTAGCATCCCATTCCCTATGAGTGAGAATTAAAGAACATGATAAAATATATATATATGTTTTATCTTTCAATGTTAAATTCAAGTTAAAAAAGAGATTTTGAATTTGAATTTTTTTTTTAAAAAAAGATTTATATACTCTCAAACGATTTAATAAATTTTAAAATATCGACACTTATCATGATCCACAAGTAGAATTTCTAATAATATTAAATTTGATAGTTAGATTTGTATTTCATTCAAAAAATTTAAATTTTATTTATTTATTTATTTATTTGATGCATGATAGGTAGTACTTGTTTTCACTTGCAGTTTGAGAATTTGGTATTATATTAAATTTTATAATTGGGTTTGGGTTTTGTTCAAAAATCTGATTAATCATGCTCATCTTGAAAGAGAATATCATATTATAAGTTAGTGTACTTAGTTTGTAATTAGTTAGCTTTTACTCTATGAATTAGTATAAAGTATAAGAACAAGAACAGTACAAATGGCGCTTGAATAATTTTCAATTTTTCTTCTCTATCGTTTCTGCCATAGAAGCTAACAGAAGAGGATAGAGTGCGAAACTCGTGCGGGTGATGTGGGATTCAATTCACGTGAATCACAATAATGGCCAAGGTATGTTCTATTACTTAGTCAAATTGATTTCTATTAGCATCCCATTCCCTGTAATGAGAATTAAAGAATATGATTAGAAAATATATTTTTTTTTCAATGAATTCACTGTCAATTCATGTTAAAAAAGAGATTTTGAATTTGAAACTTTTTTTTATAGGAAAAAAATAAAATTTAATTCATCTATTAAAACAAGTATTACCTATCACACATCAAATAAATAAACAAATAAAATTTAAATCTTTTGAATGATATATAAATTTAATATTGCTCAAAATTCTACTTATAAGCCATGACAAGTGTCGATATTCTAGAAGTTATTGAAACTTTTTATTTCACTTGGAGTTTAAAATTTTGATATTATATTAAATTTTATAATTAGGTTTGGGTTACATTGAAAAATCTAAATTCTTATGATATGTGATTCTTTCTCAACTTTATATACTATTCATCTATTATTTATTTATTTGACATAAAATAAAATCTCTAACAAAAATAACTGAATAAGCGTAATAAAATTTTTTTGTTAGTATCTTGCTTACTAGTTAATTATTAGACTAAAAATAATATTTATATTTTTTATTTTATAAAATATATTCTTTTCTTATTAATCTTTTCATATTTTTTATTTATTTTTATTTCTTAACAAAAATCAAAATAAATCAAACAATAGTAAAAAAGATTAAATGATTGGATTCATTTTTCAAAACTAGATGGACTATATAGCCTCAATTTTTGAATTCTGTTCACTCACCAAGTGCGATTTTTTTACCCCAGCAGAAACATTGGATTACTTTCTTCAGATTCATGGGCCATATAGTTGAAAACCGAATTTCAGAATCATGCGTGCAGAGAGAAACCTGCTCCCTTGTATTTAACTAATTTCTAAAACCCTATCTCTTGCCTGCAGCACGATTTTTTTTCCTTTTTTTTTTTTTTTTTCTGTGTTTAGTACAACTGGTAATGCTGTTTTGGGTGTTTTTATGAAAGTATTTTGATTGAATATACATTAAATTTGATTTTTTTATGATTTTGACGTCATTATATTAAAATTTATTTAAAAACTTCCTAAAAAACGAAAACGCATTATAAAAAATATTTTCAAACGCAATCAAGATAAGCACTACGTAGTTTTGTTCTTCTTAAGATTGTTTCAAAACTTTCAACAAATGTTTCTAATCTAAAAATATAGAACCAACTATTTATCTTTCTGTTTTATTCAAAAAAGGTAAACACGCATGGAAAAATTAATAATCTTTTTATCTAAAAATTAGGAGGAGGAGGAGGAGGAGATTGATAGGATTTTTGTTTTTTTAATTGAACTTCTTCGATTGCGCAAGATAAGAACTTGGTCGTAGTGACGTAGGGACAGCTTTGGCCCTCAACGTCAGCACTTCTACCTAGCACCTAAAGTTGAAAAACCTCTCCACCTTCACAATTCACAACAATAACTCAAGAGAGAGAGAGAAACAAGGGGATTGTACCAAAAATATCTTAATGCTGCCGACATAAAGAAAGGGAAAGGTCCTATTTAATGGAGTAAATTATAAATTAGTCTCTTTTATTTTAAAAAATAAATAAATAAATTAATCCTTCTTGTTTCAAAAATTAATAATTTAATCTCTATATTTTAAAATCTATTAATAATTTAGTTCTTGTTTTTTAATTTATTTTAAGAAATAAAAAAATATGAAAAAATTGATGAGAAAATAAGAAATTTTATAGAATAAAAATAATATTAAATTAAACATGTTCAAAACTAATTAAAGAATTAAATAATGGTTTTTGAATTGAGGATGAATAATTAATTTATTTTTTGAAACTAGAAAGACTAATTTATAATTTACTCTATTTTAATATCAACATTTAACCATGAAATCAGTCTTTAGTTTGGCTGCCTCAATATTTTTATTTCAAAAGCTCTTTTTTTTATTTATTGCTTGAGTCTTTTTTTCTCCTGTAAAGATCCTTTTATCATAACATTTTGAGTTCGTACACCTACATCACACATTTATGTTAGAGCAACTCTTTTATTTTTAAAATTATATAATTAAAAAAAATAAGAAAACGCAAAGCAAACATGTAAAAATTAATTTACTTTAATTAATTAGGTTCGTTTAGGTTATTTTTTCTTAGCTAGTTTACTTTTATTTCAATTATTTAATTTTCACTTCAAACGAAAAAATTGAAGAGTTATTGGATGATGAGTTATTAACTTTAATAGAAAAGTGTAATGCAGTTGTACAAACTCACGATATTATGACAGAATGAGTACTCTTACAGAACAAAATAAAGATAGTAAAGTTACTTGATCAATAAAAAAAAAATAGAAGGTTTCAATAAATGTTTTTTTTTTTTTAAATATAGAGGACAAAGCGGAATAAAACCCTTATAATTTATTTCGGCCTACGAACAATGGAAAGAGTATATCTATTTACTACAGAGATTGCAGTAACATCATAAACTTGTTATTTTGGTGCAAGAATATATCATGAATTTAGCAGCGGGGGGATTAAGCGTATTGCATTCGCAACCCAGAGAAGACAGCAAAAATAAATGATCTGTGGAAGAGTTAATTTTCAAATAAATCAGGAAACCTAAAGCGTGTCTCTTGAAGTTACTACTCCTGTATGATATCCAGAGTGGTGTAATTACGTAATAATGTAAGGGTAACCCACTCGTGATTGTTAGTAATCTGATCTACCGTGTCAAAAAATTGTTTCATCTAAAAATTTAAATTTGTCACAGGACTTCAAGAACGATTTTATATTAACTATGAAAATACCAAACAGCTAAAAGTACTAATTACAAGCAACTGAGATAAATGGGTAGAATGGTTGTGCCTCTAGAATATTTATAGCAAACATGAACACTGCTGCTGTGGAATAAGACCACCCTCAGAATCATGATCCAAGAAAAGAAATAAACCAGAACAAAAACTGATTCTGGAAGTAAATTGAAGGTAGTAAGGAAATACAGGACGTTCTAAAGCCAATCATTTCATTTGTGCCTGGAATAGCCTCTTCTTCTTCTTCTTCTTCTTCAAACAGGAGTGCTCCAACAATCATTACCCAATAACCTGATTAGCTTTTTCTGTGCTTGAATTCCGAATTGCAGAGCCTCTGCTCCATCTTTCTTCACCAAAAAAAGGCTGACGCGATCACCTTCTCTTAGACCCTTGTATTGGACATACTTAGTCCAGCCTAAAGGGAGAACTGGTGTGGGGTGGGGATCTTTTTTCTTGTGGAACATTGGAATTCCCACAAGAGACCAGTAATGAGGTCAAAAAAATCAAATTGTTTGGAGTGTTCTCCTTCAGGAATTTGGAAAATCCCGAAGCTACTGATTGGAATGGTCATCCTACATTCAATATCTGTTTGCGGGAGTGTCTTGGTGAAGATCAGCTTCAGATGCATATCTAGCTGACAAATTCGGAAGATTCTAATTCTACTACCAATATAATTGGAAGATGTAGACAAGTGTAGGGAGAATAGCTTTCTTGAACACCCTATTTATGGACGAGAGATGATTCTGGGGAGTCCATATGCATGGAGGTTTTTTTCCGTAATAAGATACTTTTAAATCTTATTTTTTTGAATCATAAGGTTTTTTTTTTTTTCTTTGAGAGGATTCAATAACCAGTTCCGCGTGTTATTACAAGAGCCATAAATTTGTGAAAAACTTGAATAAATTTCTTGAGAGAGCACTAATAATGGAATCAAATATATATATATATATATATATATATATATATATATAATTTCCCTGCTTTATTTCTTTGAATGCAAGCTAAATTAGGTTCTTGTTTAGACTTCTGACAAAAAAACTGGTTGATGATGAAATGTGGTGATGATGATCCATAAGGAGTACTTCTGGGCACATTGTTATCAAATTAAAATTAATGGTGCAAAGCAGGGAGTTGCACGAAGCGTGCCCTTTAAATATGATGACAAAACAGCACCCTTTACTTTGCCAAAGACTCAATTGTTGAGGCCAAGAATTTTTACAGGAGACACTGTGATTATTTGAGCCAACTGCTTCAACCTCTGTAGCTGAAGCGTCCCCAAATCCGACACGATTGAAGCCTGAAGGGTGACTGGGGGAGTTATTGTCGAACCATTCTCATTTGTTATTTTTACATACACATTCTGAACGACAAGGAAAAAAGATTGGGAGTCAAACAGATGCATCATTTTCAACTTTTTTTAAGGACAATGGCAGGCTCCTGAGTGACTGTTAGACTGCTAGTGCTTACACAGTCTACTTTAAGCTTGCAATTTCAATTCTGTGACAATAACTCAAAAAAAAAAAAAAAAGAAATAAATGGCATAAACAGCATGGCTAAAAGAGTCTCGATGACTCGGATAAAAATTAATTCATTTAGATGCACAATTTAACAGAAGGACAGTAATAAGCAAAACCAAAATCTTTGCATTTCAACTAGAAAATAAATATGCTGTGGATTTCAATGGGCTCGACCTCCCCTCCCTTAATTATGCAGATGTTAATGTTTGTCTTTCATTAATTTTTTAGTAATTATGATTTTGAATTGGAAGAATATTTAAAGTTTAAGAAATTAAGGCAAAAACAATAAAAGAGTGATAGAGATAAAGGGTAAGTTAATTTTTTCTTTTGTGTTTCTAATTTTTTAAAATTATTATATTAAATATATATTGTAACATTTAATTAAAAAGATGGTATAGATGCCTACTCGGCAAAATTGACTCAGGCTATAACTCCTTAGGCTACAATTTAATTAAGCCAACAATGTATTCCAACTTTCCAATATTCACTAACTTGGAAATTGTCGTCTTACCGAACTATCTTCTTAGCCTCTTAGCTTTTTTCGAGTTTTTGTATAAAATTACTGACGATATTGCATTTTCGTGCTTTCAGACTATAGTCTATATATCGCCATGCACTTTTAATTTTCTGCCATGATTGGTCTGGATATTCGATTTGGAACAAAACAAATCAAATTGGGATAAGAAGGTTTGAACATCTCTTATAACGGATTAAAATTATGCAAACCATTTTAACAAGTGTATAATTAACGAAGAACATAATCATTCTATTATCTCTATACCTCTTGATCGAAGTCATTATGACGGTATAAAATTCAGACCTGGTGTATATATATTGTGTGTGTGTACAAGCTAGTTCTAAAAAAATTCTTTACTGTAAAATAACATTAAAAAGGAAGAAGTAAAATGTGGGTCAAGAATCATCCTTTAAGCTTTTATGTTTTTTCTTAGACTATATCGTTCTAATGACTTATAGAACAGGCTTGTCGTTGTCGAATGTGTTACACATAACGCCCTTGTGCAATGCTGCTGTTCGCATTTATTTATTTCTCTGCCAGTATTAAATAATATCTTCCAATTATTTTACATATCAATTTAAATTAAATATATTTTTCAAAGGCTTTCGATATAAATTGAATATATGTTTTCCGAAGGTTATTAACATACCCTTCCTATCAATTTAACATATTTTTTTTAATTCATTGCTGATTATAAAATTCAAAATTTATTTTTCAAAAAAATATTTTACCATCAAAATAATAAGACTATTGACAAAGTTATTGCGACTTGGAAGACTTGGAAGAGATAGGTACGCATATGAAAATTAAATGCTTTATAATATATATATAAACATTTATAGACTTTCACAGGAAGTATATATTGTAGCAGTTAAAACTCAAATCACTGAAAGAAGTTATTAGTTAATAATCATTAAACTAACCTGTGTATTTATTTTTACTTATGGATTTAAGTTGTTACTATCTTTCAGGCAACTAAAATAAATAATAATAATAATTATTACAAGATATAAATTTTCTATTAGGATAAATTGTAATTAATTACCACCTAAAATATCATATAATTATATAAATCATCTACATGTTTGGATATATAATAGAGACAAATTTTTTTATTCAAAAAGCGTTGCCCTTATTATTGAATGGAGTGATCTTATAAATATTATGTACATTTTAGGTAAAAAAAAAATGTATATTTTTTGCTTAAATATAAAGGAATTTATGTCAAACTCCAATTTTTTAAATGGTTTTTGTAATGTCATAATTAATATCTTAGAGATTTATTATAATTTACTCTTTCTAAGTTTTGTTGGTGCCAATGATCACAGTAAACCTCCCCCGCACCCACTTTATTGGATTTCATGCTATTGTTGAATTATTACCATTGAATAGTCAGATAGGTCGGCTGTTTTTTTTTTTTAATGGTTTACAAATTTAATATTAAGAAAAAAACATAATGCAACTAATTTAAAAGAAATTATAACAGAAAAAAAATTAGATAATCTGTAGTTTTTCTTTACAAAAAAAATATTCAATTACCGTCTTAGAATATTATAAAATGAGATCATGATTTTATTATGCAATAATAATATTAATTAAAAGTAATAAATTAAAAATACAAATTAGGATAGAGAATACTCGACAAACGCAGTTAGGATTGGTATCCACATATATATATATATATATATATATATAAGGTTTGAATTCAAGATTTTTTGAAAATACAAAAAGATATTAATATGAATTGAGTTATATTTTATAAGCAACCCAACATGGAATATTGCAAACAACATAAAAATCATCAAAGCTGGATTAAATGTCTAATACTATGGACCCGAGTTGATTCCAAAATTTAACTACCAAGCCCATGTTCAGGCCGTTTCTTCAAGCAGACTTGTTCCCATATCACAGCCCAGTTACCAAAGCAAACATAGGCCCAAGCCTTCTCAATGTAATCCGCAATGGGCACTAGCATTCCAAAAATCTATTTTGAATATACGTTTTTGGACCACGTTTCTTTTCGAGCAGGATTTGCTTGTGTGTTAATGTGTTATTGGTTTACCCATAATCGTTTGGATGATCCGCTCAATGCTTCCTAGTAAAATTTAGAAGATTTTCCTGGCAATTGGTTAGGTTTTGTTTTACATGAATTATGAAAAATAATTTTTTGGCTTTGAGTAATAATTCAAAATACATGTTTTGTAAATAATTTATGAAACAAATAGTTAAGTTAGAAGTATCTTCATTAAAGTTATGTTTGGTCTAATTTTTGCAAATTGATTTAAGTTATTTTTTTAACTTTTGACTTAAAAGACAAATTATAATTATGTTTGGTTAATAATGACTTTTGATTTAAGGATAAATATACTCATATATTTTAATGTAATACTTAAAATCTCTCGTATGTCCGTAAGTATTTAATTGCATTTCATTTATTTCTGAAAATATTTGAAATGTTCAATCTGTTTTTTTGATCAAATTTTTTTAGCTAAATGATTTTTTTTACACAAATACCCTTGGTTAAAATACAAAAAAATTAAATTAAATAAAATTCGAAGACTTAAAAAATGAAGCAAGCATGTCATGTGACTTTAACATGTTTTTTATTTTTTTCATTTTAGTTATGGAATTTTTTTTTTAAAAAAATCTTATGATCCAAAAATTTGATCAAAGGGATAGATTGGATATTTAATTTTTTTTTTTTTGAAAAACATATGGGATGCATTTGAAAATCTAGAGACGAGATATGAAACTTTGAGTATTATATAAAGACACATAGGTATATTTATCCTTGATTTAAATCAAAAGTTTGTTGCAAAAGTTGAGTCAAAATTATTATTTAATTAATAGTTAAAACTTTTAAATTATATTGTATTTTTTTTAAAAAAATTCAGTTATTTTTACCAAATATATTTGTAACTTATTTTTTCATAAGTTATTTATAAAAAATAATTTGTGAATTATGACTCAAAATTAAAAGTTATTTTTCCAAACGAACTATAAAAAAATGATTCAAAACATTTTTTTTCGAAATATAAAGATACTATAAGTTAAAATTAATAAGTTATAAGTTAAAAATATTAAGTTTTGATTATAACAAAATCCTGACTCAAATTTATAATAACCTTTTGATTTAAGTCAATAGCTATTTCTAATTAAACATTATTTACGACTGTTCTATGAGTTAAAAATTAAAAAAACAATTAAAATATCTATTTCTAAAAGTCATACCAGACAGAATCTTAGTTATATGTTTAAAAACTTTTGATTTAAAAAGAGCTGTCATTGCAAAAAAAATCTTATTTTGGAAATTATGTTTATTGGTTTTGGATCAAGGATGGAACACTCATATTAGACAGATCCAATCCAAAATTAATGTTAATTTGCAGTCAAAAGATGATTGCATTTCTAGAAACTACCGAAGACAGTAAATGCAAGTGTTTTTATCATGTAAAAAACTAATATAGATAAAAGATGACAACACATGAGAAAGGATTCTCCTATGTCTTGCTCCTTCGCACAAATGAAATGTCGTGACCTTAAATCTCTCTGTGCTAAGTACTTGATTTGTGGATATACTACGTTTTCCATACTGTGATTGCAAATTCTTTTACAAATTGGTTAAGATTGGCCCATGACTTGTGAAATAACATTGATCCCAGAGCTTTTCTATTTTTTTTTTAATTATTTCTTCTAACATTGTTATGATTTTTTGAGTTTTCATGTATTAAAACTCTTTTTTGGATGGAAATGTTAACTTACCATGCGAAGCATTTTAGGCTATGAGGTTTTAGTATGTTGTTCCTTTTATCATATGATAACTTATGGTTAAAATTTCAAATTAAAACTCTTGGTATGTTGAGAGATATGATGAAGCAACGTTTCTAAAACAATAGCTATTCGGCTTCTCTTTAGGGCTAATAACTCTCATATCCCTTGTGGTTTCGATTTCTGGTATTGTTAAAAAGGATATAAAATCAGTTTTCAGACGCCATATGGAATGTGTCAAACGGAATTATGGTTGAAGAGATATAAGATCTCTAAGTTCATTGGCTAGAATTCATTGCATATTATTTCATATTTACGTTTGGATTAATAAGAGTGGGAAATGATCCAGTTTGTCCTCATAGAGTATCTAATATGTTTTTATATTTTAAAGTAAATCTATTATGTTTTTATATAAGCAAGTTTTCAATCTGATCTTCTAGCAATTTTTTTTGGGTCAAATCATCGGAAAAAAATCACCTGACAAATATGATTATCTTTTTTTTCTTGAAAATACCCTTAAAAAAATTATTTTTTCCTAAAAAATGCTCTTAAAAAACTCCATGAGTTGCATGTTTAGTCGAGCAATGTTTTTTTTAAAAAAGAAAAAACTAATCACGTGCAAGTCACATTATCTTTTTTAACGGTTAAATTGAAAAAATTTAAAAGGAAAACAGATTAAAAATTAACTTAAAATACAAAAATATAATTAACTCATTTTAAGATATATTGACGACATTATATAAGAACAAATTCAATCATTATCTCTAAAATTTAATAACAGTTGTACAAGTTATATGTTCTAGGTTGTATCTCGTCACTTTGGTCAAATGATAAATAAGTATATTAAACGGTAATAAATTATTCCTATAACTTGCCATTAAAATGATGTTTCTGATGAGAGGGGTTGATAAATTTCAAGATAAAAGAAATGTTCCTATTCTCGATAGATTATGAACACCTAGTGGGTAAAAGAGTTTATGGATGAATAAACGGTGCGTGTGTAACTAAGCAGTCTAAACTCAATCGTAAACGTCATGATCTTGGAGAACATCTTGCTTAGCAAAGTTAAGGTTGATAAGGAATTTCAACTTTGCAAATTGATGGGTCCTGACATTATTATTACAATGAGATATTTAAGGTTTGAACCAAGTAATATGGTACCTTAATAGGTATTTCAAAAAAAAAAAAAATCGTTAAGAAAAAAGTTCATAAATTATTCATTACTAGATGGAATTTGAGGATTAATTAAGAGTAAGATTGTTTAGGCATATGGTGATTTAGTGTTGTCGTCATGAATCCACTTATCGGACAAAATTAGCCCTCTATGCCAAAAAGTTAAACTAGCTTTATATCGTAGGCTCTTATGACTAGCTACCTGGGTGTCATTCGATGGCATTAGATCCCACAATTTACGAAATGTTTGTTGCAATGAATCCTTTCCTATTGGAAATTAGAGACAAAAGGCCCAATGGGCCCTTACCCATTAGGCCAGGACCACTGTGAAGGCCCATTATTCAGCCTACACAAGACCAAGACAACAAGCCTTATCCAGCCTAAATAGTAGGTAAACCTATTCTAACTAAGCATGCCTAGCCTAACCAAAGCCCAAGCTCTCCAGCCCAAACAAAAAACCCAAAACATAATCACTCCCATTCAGCCCCAAATTCGTTTCCCCTTAAACCAGATCCATCTCTTCTTTTTCTTCTTCCTCGCCATTTCCCTTTCCCTGTTACTTTTATGCGTCAAACACCAAATCAACAGACTCCCTCCCTTTACGAACCCATTTCAAACCACCAAAATCTTCTCACCCTTTAGAATTCAATCAAACAGAGGAAAATGGGAGGGCAGTTGGGTGTTGTATGATGACGGTGACGACGTCACTGTCATCGCTCATTCTTGAACGAATTGGCAGAGAAATTCTGGTTGGAGCTGCAAAATCATGAAAGAGGCAGGGCAGTTTACCTAGGTATTCGATTGGTGGAGCTTAGCTTGGGGTGGATGATTTGCAACGAACGATTATCCTGGCTTCAACCAGTGGAGATTTCCTCCTTCAAGAGCCTAGAATCAATCCTTGTAGACCCAGCAATCACTGCTGTGAAACCCAGGAGAAGAGATGAGCAGAACCTCTTCTATTCAAAATCCCAGCAGAAACCCTAACTTTCCTCCCTTCTGTTCTTTTCTGGGTTTCAGGACTATAGTGATTGAATTTCAATTACTGAAGCTAAACTATTCCTACCCAAGACCCAGAAAAAAACTACCCAAATTATTCTCTGTGCAAAACGCAGAATATACCCTTTGGAACCTAGAAATGCAACTGCATTGTGTTGTGCGGGTGGTGTGTGTGGCGTGATTCTTGGCTGGTACAAATGCCAGCCAAGAATTTTGGCATTGATCGAATTTGTCTTCTCAGGTAGAAGATGAAGGACGGCACTGGCGGAGAAGGGAAGAATGAAGCTGGAATGAATTGGACGACAGGTCATTCAGCTTTCTCCGATTGGTCCTGTCGTCTGATTCTTCTTTCCTTTTTGGTCCCTAATTGATTTGATTTTTCCCCAATTGCACCCTTCAGACGTATCGTTTTGGTCCATTACTCCCCTGAGTTTTTTCAATTGGACCCCTACGTTTTCAATCTTAGATCCTGAACCTTTAATTATTTCAATTGCATGCCTAATTAACTCTAATTTCATTCCATTTCCATTCAATTGTACCATTGAGACTTTATGATTCATTTTTTTCGACCAAAATAAAAGGATCCTAAAAATGATAAGAAATAAAGGATAAATAAAAGAAATAAAGAAATATATAAAATGAATATAACCCAAAATTTGAGTTATGACATCGATATATATATATATATATATAGTTTGACAAAATTATAATTTTTAATAACATATGTAAAGAAATGTATAAAGTTTGACAAAATTATATTTTTTAATAACATATGTAAAGAAATGTATAAAACGATAAGGACTAAAATAGACTTGGGGCGATGGGGGTGGCGTGCCCCCTTCTGGCCCAAGGGTGGGAGCATAAGCGAATTACAGCTTGGAAAGTTGATTAATATTAGAATGGGGAAAAAAAGATAATTGTACTATAATTACATTAATTTAAGGTTTTTTCAATTGAGTATATAAATTAAAAATTTTTTGTTTGAAGATATTTTTTTTTTCAAAACTAACAATGAAATATTTTTCTGTCCATTTTTTA